CCACAGGCTCACCACGCAGCCAAACGAAGTAACTCAGGGCAGGGTGGAAAGTTTTGCTGTTGTTACCCTTTATTAAGTACAGCTCCACCACTGCAGGCGTATTTCACCCCCATGAAGTCCTTCCCTGAGCCCCATCTAACAAACTGTTGAAGGAAAAGCAACATGCATGTAAAGAATCAGCTCCATACCCCAGCATACCCAGAAGGCTGCTGTCCCATAAAAACCAGAGTCCAATCTCTCAGGTGTCTTGCTTCAAATCTGAGTTACTTGAGGCTATTCCCTTTGTTTTCTATTCCAGAAGTTTCTGGATGGCAGCAAACTTATTTCAGCATCCATTTTATGCCCCAAAGCAAGAGTACACAACTTGCCAAGCTGAACAAATAAGATTTTTTAAAAATTTTAAAATTCACAGCATTCAGCTGCCTCCAAATACTCTGCTTCATCCTGTAGCTGCAAGGGCAGCAACTCAAACACCTGACTTTGTTACCTTCAAGTCTATCAATTATTTAGACAAAGCTCCTTTCCAGAGAGACTCAAGTATCAATTATTTAGTCTTTGAGCAGGAAACAAAAGCTGTTAAGAGAGGAAAACAGATTTCTGGAAAGGGCTGTTGGGACACATGAACACATCTGCGGTTGTAGACAAACAACCTGCGTGAACCAGAACGGGAATGCCAAAACAAAACAACCCCTAAAGCCAAAAGCTCACATGCACACACAGGCTCATCAAGTGCCAGGACCAATTAGTGCCAAAGAGCCCCAACTACATCAGGGGGTTTCAGGACAGTTCTTCCCATGGAAGACCTTTATCAGTTTGGTACAAACGCCTGTTCTCTGGCCCAGGAGCACAAAATAAAGCCAAGCTTTTTTCTAATACTCCAGAAGCTCTTTTACAGCACCAAGACAACATTCAACAAGGCTCGCTACAAAGATCAAGGGGAAGCAGAGCCCTGGGTTTATTACACCCTTGCCTTTCCCACTCAGGTTCAGATTAAGGACAAAGATAGGCCCAAGATTTTCAGATTTTGCATAACTTCTAAAGATAATGACACAGCAAGAGCTCTCAGAGGAAGCACAGATAAAGCATTCACCTTAGATAAGAGCAGAAATTCTTCCACTCACACATATCACACATAAGCTGTGGTACAATGAAAAGGACAAAACACTGTTGCTTGGCTCCCAAAGAGTTGAAGAAAGACAGGAAACACTGGAGCAAAACAAGTGCTGATCCCTCCCCCCTGCCAAACTGGGGTTGAGGCACACTTTGGATCAGAAAAGAAAATATACCTATTTTTAAACCCAGTTAAGAGCCCTGGGTTTGGATATAGTTCCTATTGTGGCCAGCACGTTTTATTTTCATTTGTTAAAGATTTTCTGCTCAAGTGATAACAGAGTTCACATGTGAATAACCAAGCAGAGTGGTTCTTCTATCTGAGAGCTTCAGTTCCAAGGGTTATGTCAGATTGGTCAAAAAGCTTCACAGAAGCCTGGCCATTCAAGGCAGTTGTTTTAACTGCAATCATCACAATTTTATGCAGACAATTTTTAGGGGTCACCACTTTTGCAGGTGATCCTCAACACCTCTCCTTTGCTATTATCCTCACCTGTGACATTCCCAAAATAGAAGAATTTGCCCAACAATGATTTTTCAGCTGACTGACCATCTGAAAGCAGATCTTATCCAGAATAAAGTTTTTTACAACACAAAAAGTAATTCAAATATGACATTCAACTGTAGTTAAGTAGTTAAACTGTACATTTAAAATTAAGTCATCAGAGCTTAGACATTTCAGCCCTTCCCCTTCTTTTTAGGTGGCTGAATCAAAATTCAGATTTCTTCTTCCTTGTGAAGATCCAAACAGTTACTCTTTAAAACCCACACATACCAACTAACCTTGATAAGCTTTAGTCTGACTATCTCTGACGTTGTTCTTAACCTTCATGAGATACTGTTGACTGCACATGAGCAAAGGAAAGGAAAACAAGGATCGTGTTCCTGCCCAAACTGTGCTGGGGGCTGAGGGCAGCATCAGTAGCTGCACCCAAGCCACCAACAGCAGAGCTTTGGAAGAGCCTTTAGGACTGGGCAATACCAGAGAGGAAGACACATGACCATCCTTTGGATCTAGAATATAACCTCTGCATCTAGAAATAACTTCTGCTTAATTCCCCTTTAGTAACAGCCTGCACCGTTTACTGTTTGAGGGTGTAATTTACTTTATCTGAGCTACTTCAACTTGAAACAAAATGCAAACCACAGCACATTCATGGATTTTGTGAATTGCAGCCCTCTTAGCCTTAGAAATGTACCACAGGTGGCAAAGTGTGAAAGTCTGTTCCACCAAAAAACAGGAAGTTTTGACACAGGAAGCCACAATGCAAAGCAACATGGCACAGAGAGCTCACAAGTGTGTCCAAAATCCACACATTTTTTCCGTACCCCGCCCAGGTCAAATTTTTTGTAAAAGCAAAAAAATAAAAGGAGGATCTGTGGAACAGTTTTGACAATTGCTCTGTGAAGTCCACTTCCCCTCACACAGACCCCAATGAGAATTCTGAACTAACACAGGGACATCAAAACAAGAGTTTAATTTATTCACACTTATCAGTGCTCAAACTGTGCCACACCTAATCCACAATGAGAAACTTGACAGACTAAGAGAATCAATTATAGCAGTTCCTCAGCAGAAAAATTCCTTTTTCCAAACACCCATTTACAGGTAATGGCACATTAGTAGCCATCCAATAAAGCTTTATAAACTAAATAAAAATACCCTCTAAGAAAATCAGAGGTCAGCGCCAAAACAATCCAATATTTCTCAGTTATTCATTAGAAACATACAATAAACTCATTCATCATCCAGATATAACCAAATTCATAAGACACCATGCCAACAATTTTTTTGCTACACCCAAGGGCAAAAAGTTATGCCTTCAATACCAAAGACAGTATCCCAATTAAACAGCATCTTAGGGCTCAGAGCAAGGGCTTTTTATGGTCCTTTCATTAAGTATTACAAGGCCTAACGCCAGTAAAAGGCAGCCCAGAACACACTCCCTTGCAGTGCTGTTAGCTGTGTTACCCATGTGAAGGCTCTGCACAGACACTCTCCAAGCACAAGATCACACTTTTTCCATCTTTTCTGCCACCCTCCCATCCCCACAAGGAGGCAGCAAGGACAAGAAAGAGGTTTTAAATAGGAAAGTCTGTCTACAATGCACTAAATGTAAGACAAAGCCTGTGCCCAGAAAAAAGAACAAGATTTAAATGGGTTTTCTCCCGATTCGGGGACTGGAGATAATGCTACAACACAAAGGGAGCTACAAAGGAAGCTAACTGGATCAACTTACACTAAAAAAATAATCACACAGAGCACACACCACCCAGAAAATCAGCTTTCCATGATTGTGATTTAGACCCAGACTGCACCTTCAGCAAGTTCACCTAGGAACAAGAGCAACAAACAAAACTAAATGCCAACTGTGAAACTGACTTGTTTTTACTTGTAACTTACATAGGTTTTTTTCAATATAAACACACTTACAAACTTTTGGAAAGCCATTCTAAAAATTCCTGTTTCAGTGGCATTATAGTTTTGAACAACATAACCTTCTAAGGACAGGCAACAACACTATATTCCATCCTCCAAGAAAAGAGCTAATAGGATACAGATCACACCCTAAAAGTGCTTTCTTCCAGCATCATCAACCAAAGGATAAAAAACACCATTCTATAAACACAAGTGTCCTGAATTCCTCTAAAAAACCCAAACACACAATCCAAATCAAAAGTTGCAAAGCAGTTTCCACCACAGCTCGTTCCTACTTCACACCAGTGACAAGACTTGAATTCCCACCTGATCCCTTCACTCTGCACACAATTCTTCGGCCAAGCAGATAGTGCTAGCACCTCAACCTTCCACACCAAAAGTTTCACACATTTATTGTGAGTATAAAGTCTCTCAGTACTGATGCCTTACTCCCTGCTGGAGACAGCCAAAATAGAGATGGCTCATCTCACCAGAGAGCACTTATGAACAAGACACACCCCGTGATTCCATTCTCTAGGAACTGCTCTCCTTCCATTTCATCCAGAGTTCTAGGTCACAAGGCTTATGTCACTGTAACAAACAAACAAACAAAAACCCAACCAAACTAAAAAGCAGTGATGGAAGAATTTTGTCTTGCCAGTTATTTTAAAATATCCTTCACACCTCCACCGCCACCTCCCTGGAAGATCCACTAAAGAAAGGAAAAACAACCAAAACAAGCAGCTTCTTTTACAGTATGCGATAGGTTTCTTTGTGAGTTTTTTTTTAATTCAGAATGTCTCAAAATGCTAAAGCTACATAGAGCATGGAAGATAAAGCAGGAGCCAAAACAGAACTGACCACAGAGCATCACCTCTGGTACCCCGCGCTCCACGGCCGGGCCCATTAGGGCAGGGGGCTGAAAGGGGGGCAGAGAGGTCGATCACTACCACAGCCGACAGCCAATTAAAGTTAAAATATTTTTAAAATTAAGTTACGGCCTCAATCCTTACACCCACTGCGCCGTGTCTCCCTCTAAACACCCGGGGCTTAGGGTCGGCAGCCGCCGGGGCGATGGCGAAGAACGGAGCGGGCAAACTGGCTGCAGCAATCCGAAAGGCCTGTTTCTGTAATTGTAATCTTTATTATTATTATTACTATTTTCCTCCCTCGTTGCACCTCAACGAGACACGCTAGCGCGAATCCCAGGGGAAGCCTCACCCGGCCTCTCGGGCTTCCTTTAATGGGAAGGACAATGGCAGGGGCTCGCCCCAGCCCCGCGCCGCCGGGAGGCTCGGGCAGCCGGGGCTGCTCCCGCCCGGCCCCGGGGATGCTGCAGGGAGCGCACTGCTCCGGGGAGAGGGGCAGAAATGCCAGAGCTCCAAATGCTCCGGGGAGAGCAAGGGGCGCTGCGGACGGCGCGATCCCCGGGGCAGAGAGCGGGCGGGTGCCCGGGCCGGGCGGCACTCACCGGGGCAGGCGCCCGCTCGCTAAGTTTCGCCGAGCTGGGCGGAGGGCGAGGCGGCGTTCGGCGTAGGTCCCTCGGCTGCCTCGGCTAGTCCATGGGCACGGCGGCGCTGCCGGAGCCTCCTCCCCGCGTCAGCTCGGCCGGAGTGCCAGGCGTGCCGTGCCCGCCGGGCGTGCCCTTGTGCCGAGCCGCCCCGCCGCTCTCCCGCCGGGCCCGGCAGCGCGGAAATGAACGGCCCGGCCACGCCCGCTCCGCGCTCCACACAAAGGGGGCGTGCAGGAAGCCCGGCTCTGCCTCCGGGCCCCGCGGCTCCCGCCGGGACCGCCCGGCAGCGCCCCCCCGAGCACCCCCGGGGCCGGGCGGAGGCTGAGGGCGGCCCCCGTCCCTAGCAGTCCCTCCCCCGCAGCGCTGCGAGCGCGGCCCCTCGGCGGGGCCCGCGGCTTTGTTGTCTCGGGCTCGTTCGTGGCCGGGTGACGGCGGCCCCCGCCCCGGCCCTGCGTGCGGGGCTCGGCCCGGCCCAGCCCGCCCCGGCTGCGCCTCAGCCCGCGGGGCTCCGGAGCGGGAGCCAGCGTGCCAGAGACAGCACATGCCGAGCAATACTGCAGGCACGGCCGAGCCTACCTGAGGAGCCGGAAGGCGAAGGAAAGGCACGAAATAAGACGCCCCGACGAGTATTTTGAGTCTTCGGGCGTCCCAGAGTTTTTACACCTCCCGAGAGAGACTCCGAGACGAGAGGAGGGAGGGGAAGGGAGGGCTGAGCTGTTTAAAGCCGCGTAGTTAGCAGGTGATAGCTCCCACCTGAGGCAGGTGGGAAATGCTCCCCTGCCGTCTCGTTTGGCTCCTGACCTTCTGTTCCCTTTCCACACCTTGTGATCTCCCTTGACACAGCTAAACCTTTCTGTCACCTTCATTCCCATCCTTATACATAAAGAAAACTAATGCCTTCAGTGAAAATACATTTGTGGCAGGAAGGCAAGGCCAAGGGAGGTAGTGCAGCACCACTGTGTCCTTACAGGCTGCCTTATATTATCAACGCTTTCTTCACCTGCCCCAGCCCTTGGACTTGGAGGAATTCCTTATTCCCCCAGTCAGGAGCAAGGCTGCTCCTGCTCACCAAGACAGCAGCAATTGCACTAAAGCGAAAGGAACTGTTGAGCAATCAAATGGTGTGTGAGCCTAGCACTTCTCCAGTGTGCTAGTTCTCCACTCATCAAAGCTGACAACCAAGAGTGGGCTGGAATTCACAGTAAATGCACAGCTCTCCTCATCCAACCCCTTCTGATGTCTGACAAAGCAGATACACACCAGTGTGTCACCCACTCGCCGCTCACATGATCTAGACTCCTTGTCATTTTCCACACAGTTGTTTAAATAAATGGGGGGGTTGGGTTTAGTTTGGGGATTTGTTTGTTTTGGGTTTTTTTAAAGGGAGGGGGAGTATTTACCAAAGCAAAATTGAACTGAGTGTTAAAGCTGACAGAAGATGCTAGAAGAACTACCTGAATTTTGAGCAGAATCTAAGAGGGGAGAGGTCATTGGATAATCAGATGGTAAGAACTAGAAGAAATCTATTCTCCATCTCAGAAGTACTGAAGTAATCTCACAGAGCACTGAGTCACTTCACCAGAAAGTCCAGAGCCAAGGCAGAAATCTCTACCATGCTGATTCTGTAAGAGACAGGAAGATGGTGCAATAGTGACTTCTAAGATTCAGTGGGGAAAATGGGAAATTCAGCAGCTTTACGATGTAAGGACTGTGGAATTAGGAAGGGCATTTGTCGATAAAATAAGGTTCTCTTGCAATTTACTATTTGTAAAATGGTTAGTGTTAGCAGTTCACAGCATAGTTGAATTGACTGTGCTCGCTGTTAGCATGAAGCTGGTTCCAACAGGCTTTGTGTGTCCCATTTATTTGCCTTTGACATTATCTCTGCACAGTGCTTCACTGTGTTGCCAGGAAAATTGGAGTAAAAATCCCATCCATCACAGAAACCATTAACTATGTGCTAGGGCAAATTGGAACACTTTTAAAAGACAGTCACTTCAGCAGTGAGAAGTGTAATAATCCTGCAGGAATGAAAATAGGAAATCTGATTTTTTAAGTGAATATGTGCAGGCCAATGCTCATGTGTGGTTTGTTAATGTTGTTTCCCTCTGACTACTACAAAACATTTTCTAAAATAAATGAAATCTTCATGAGGAGTAGCTGGTGGAAAATGGCCTGACCAGAGCTGTTCACCACTGTGTATGTTCAACCTTGTCCCCAAATACCATTTTTCAGTGTAAAAACAGTCTATTTATGGAGGGAGGCGTGCAGAAATCAGTTATAGTTGGAATTGTCATATGGTTTTGATAATTATGAGGTTAAAAGAGAAGAGTGTGCAAGGAAACAAAGCCCACAGAAGCTACTGAGAGACCTTAAGCAACTTCAAATACAAAGAATCAGTCGCTGGATCTAAAAGAGAAGGCAGAAACATTGTAGGGAAAGCCTTCGTAACACGTTCGAGATCGATTAGAAGAGTAATAAATTAGGATGGAACTGGTCAGACACCCAGAAATTCGAGGGGATCAGGCTGAATCAGTGATTTAAGTTTGTCCTCGTTCCCAGAGCGTTTCCCCACGTCCCCCTGCTGTTGGCAGCGGCTGTCGCAGCTCTCTCTGCTCCGGTGCCCCCGATCGGCCCGGACAGTCCCTGCGACAAAAGAGAGGAAATTAGTACCACAGAACCGCAATGGGTTAAATGCTGGGAGTATCGCAGTGAGTCTGTTAATAATTTATTCCCTCCACTTAGAAATATCTAGACACCACAGACTGTGCCCGTCAATACAGTGTATCCTTCCTCCAAGTTTTTGAAAGGAAAACGTCCATACAGGTGAAAAGATGGCAGGAATAGGTGTTTGTTCCAACAGCTTCCTTCCAGCCGAATCGGACCCTGCAGCGGTGTGCTCCTGGAACCTGTTCAGCAAATCTTCCACTGCAGAAACCCCTCGGGTTCGCCGCTCCCCTGCACTTCGGCTGGGTAGCAGTGACATCCAGTGGTGCAGAGAGAAACAGAAACTTGCTCGGGGTTTTTTGTTTTGATTTGGTTTGTTTTTTTTTTTTTTTTTCCCTACCACGGTGCATCACAGGAAACGCATCAGAAAATGGCAGGGATCGCTTGGCATTCCCGTCTCGTTGTGGATGTTCGCGGGTGGCACCAAGGACAGGCAGTTTGACAGATAACGCGCACGGGGAGACAAAGATGCAGAGCCAAAAACATCCGCTGGGGCAGACAATCTTTGTAATGGCCCTAAAAGGACACTGCAAATAGGAAATGCAATTTGGGATCCCTAAAGTTCAAATAAAAAGCATTTTCCTATATTACACCTATATCAATGACTTCACAGCATTTTCATTCATGAAATATTTTCATTAAACCCAGTTATGTGCTGAAGAAAAGATAAACAAGCTGACAAACAAGGAAAAGTTGATTGAAAAAGAAATTCTACAGCAGAGTTGTGTTTCTCAAGCCCTACCCTTGCACTTTGTGCATTTTTCTACTGACCTGACCAATCTTCAGCCTTAAAGATGAAAACAAATAGAATATCATTCTGCATGGGTGCAAAATGCACATCTCAGAATAACAAACAAACTTTTAATTATTAGTTTTCAGCAACCAGGTGAGTGTTAAAGTATGATGTGAGATTTGATGTGCTGAGAAGTGATTTAGATTTTGGGTACATGCCATGTTAAAAGAAAAAAATCACAACAGTAAATGCATACAAGGAACTGGGCCAGCAGAGGTAGCTGTTCGCACAATAAAATTAACAACTGTAATATTTTTTTTTCCAGTGAACATTCTGAGTTCAGTCTGCAGTATTGGAAATTCACTTAGATGTAATTTTTTCCTCTTTTACTATTTTGCTCAATTTTAGTTATTTGGTTTAGCCCATTTACAATGGTAATTATCTGTTCTTAGTTCCTATGTTCCACCTATTTTCTATCCTTTCCATTCTTATTTTGTCAATAAGAAAATTGTTATCTTTAAGGTTGAAGATAGATCAGTCAAACTAATCCCAAGGTTTTCTTGAAAAAAAAAAACCAGATTTATTGATAACAATTTTTCAGAACAATTTCAAATGTCATTTTGACCTTCTAGGGCTCCAGATTTTTACTTGATTTTTGAAAGACAGGGTAAGAAAACTTTAAAATACACATAAGCTTATATAACTCTCAGATCAAAAAGTGCACTAACTGTTTGTGGGAAATAATACTGTTTAGAGCAGGAAAATACTTTAGTCTGATGTGGTTTCTGTATTCATCCCTCTGGGGAATCTGCCAAAGCAGAGAACTTTCAGTTTCCATAAGTACTTTAATAAACTTAAAAAGACTTCATGGCTCTTTCTAAATCTGTTTTTACATTACAGGAACACTTCAGCATGTTGTAGTGTTAGTGATTTATATGTTTGACAGCCATTATACTCCCAAATGCTGGACAGCATAGCTCCCTGCTTGTGTTTCCAGTCCCTTTGGGCAGGCTGAGAGCAGGGCTGCAGCCCCATGGCATCCTTGTCATCATCTAGGGCTCCCTACAGTCCCAGCTCTGACAGAGTGGGTGGAATTCAGTTGCCTGTACACAAAATTGTAAGGAGATGCTTTCCAGATTCAGCAGGTTCTACAGGCACTTCACTTTATCTTCAGTTTATAGCAATTTATCTGGCTTCCATCCCATTCTCCAAGGACTGTTTATGCCTTTCGCATTTCATCTTTATGTGAAATGCACCAACAGCCCTTGGGACAAGGCCTGAAATGCAGGTCTAAGATCAGTACCTCCTTTGCTGGTCTTTGTGCAAGACCAATTCTCTGCAAATGGCAGCGCTTTCTATTTCCCATGAGAAAGAAAACTCAGAACTCTAGAGGAGCCACGATCCAGACCACTCCTGCTAAAGGTCTTTGTTATTCATAGCCCCTTGCACACCCACTGCTTTTAGCACCTCTTGTTCATTGCCCCTTGCACTCCCAAGTATCCCTGTGCTGACTGCAGACAAATGACACTTACACAATGCTTTGAACTTCTCAGGGCTTGTGTCAGCACACCATACCAGTACTGCCTTGCAGCAGTAAAACCCAGGAAAAGAGTCCCCCAGGCACAATTCTTTATTTCATGTTTCTCTGCACCTGTCCATGGCTCCAAGGAGAGCCTTTACAGAGGAAGTCCATATCACAGAGTCAA